TCGCCACCGGGTTGAGCACATATAATAGTGTAGTTTGGATCCAATATACTACAACTTTGAATGCCTTCAATGGGAGTATCAGCTATGGTATCATTATAACATACTGATTTCCCTATAAACGTTTGCGTTGCCATAGATTGCAAGAAATCCGTTGAGTTATAATAGTTAACTTGGGGATGGAGTCCACCACCAATAATCTTCCACAGAATAAAGGTGCCAACAATGAATAGAACTGGAACAACAAATTCAGAAATTGTTCCACAAGGACGACGAAGTTTGAGCAGTAAGACGCGTTGAAGAGTCGCACTCAGTTGTTGGAGGCAACTAGGATTTCTCTCGGTACGTGTAGCATACATATCGGCTAATAGGGCGGTGATGTCTTCCTTGTTTGGGGGAGGAATTTCGTCTGTACTTCCCTCTCGAGGTCCGTTTGTAGAGGAGGAACTGACAAGATCTACCCTTGGCTGCACCTCCTGCGGTGCAGTGTCCCCGCTTCGGGAGTCACTTGTATTCATCTCCACTTCTTCCACAAAAACACTCTGCGCTTGACTGATGCCGGACGGCACATGACGATGGGACCCGCCGTCTCCACGGGGTCCAATGAAGGGAGACACGGCCCCGTCCTCGTCGTTGTGGGTACACACATTACTGCTTACAAATGGATTGGTGTTCATATATAAATATATCTCCTCTTTTTGGATTTTACCTCTTTCTCGTGAAAACCACACACACTTTGAGAATGTATGCTTTTGTGGATTGGTCGTATGCGTGCGCACACGTCGGTTGTTTGACAGCAAAAAAAATTATTGCTCAGTTCACCAAGGGTATATTATTTTTCTGTTCTTGTTGTTGAGGTTGTTGTTTCTTTTTTTCTTGTTTTGCGAGTAGGGAGTGTATGCCTATTAATGAAAGACTATGATGATAATGCGTCGTTTGTCCAGCCCAGAGGAAAAAAAGAAAAAAAAAAAAAAACAATTAAAGAACTCACTTGCGAGCATCATTCGGCATTGTCACAGGCGGAGCCCCCCGGCACTTTTCTCTACACAGAAGCTGTGAGGGATCAGCACAGTACAATCCGTCTCGTTCGCGTCGCAGGTACTCTAACCGGTTTTGTCGAACACTCCCCGATCGCTTCTGGGTTGCGTCTTCCTGTGCAACATCGTCAACAACACGCTCGAGTCCCTGCAACACTTCGGCCGTCATAATGTGGTAGTTGTTTCGTTCCATCCACGCAAGAAACTGCCATACAGCGGCATGCGTGGTGAGTGGTGGCTGGGACACTTGTTTCTGCTGATCCATTGTGACACCAGTAGTAGCAGAAGCGGCAATACTCGGAACTGTTGATGCTGCTCGTAGAAGGACAACAAGTAGTGTGTGCACTGACTCAGGAGCTGCTTGATACCCCTCGTCCACGGCTGTTTGCACGACGCCAACTGCACGCTGAAGGCGCTTGGCCGGTGTGCTGCCGGTGTGTTTAAAGCGACCACCGGCTGTGAGCGCCTTACTGTTACAGTCATCATCATACTGTGTCTGATGCACACTTCGCACCACTGCTCGTATGTGGTGTTCGCGCCATGTGTTGAGGCGAATCGCTGCAGAAAGCATATCCTTCCACTCCTGTTCGTCAGGAGTAGTGATGAGCGCTCGCAAAAATCGTCTCGTAGCTGCCTGTTGAGATGCCTCGTCTTCGCTGTATGGGCGATGCACACTGACAGCCATCTCCTCGTCCATATCCAGCATATCAGGCAAAACCACTGTGGGCGGCGGTGTGCTCCGGCACCAACGGACGGTGTCATCATGCACGCCGCCGCCCCGCCGCAGACACGGCAGTCGGGCACCAACAGAACAAAGCGTTAACCGGAGAAAGGAACGCATTCTGCAGCTAGAGAAATACACGCTATCCACAACAACAGAAAAACAACGAAATAAAGTAAAAAGAGATAGTAGGAAAAAAAAAAAAACATAGACACCAAACATATTAGTGGTCCAAACCATCAACAATCCAAAAACAAAGGGAACGCCAATAAACCGCTAGAACAAGTACAAAATACCATAAATACCACCAGACATACACAATTCAAAAAACAGACAAAAACAAATCAAAATAAGAAACACAAACAACTAAAACAGAAAAATAAACAGACGGCAAAAAAAGCACCGTAATAGAAGAAACAAAAGTTGTTCACATACATATCAAGAACTCCAACTCACCCAAAAACGCACAACAATATGCACACAAAAGATAAAAAAAAAAAAAAAATACCATCTTAGGCAGCAGAAAGCGAATTCCCAAAAACCACAGTACTGCCTTCGACAAAAAGAAAATCAACATAAAACAATAGAATAACAAGAATAAAAAATATATATACACTATATTCTAACAAATACGAGTTCCTCTTCATCCAAAACACAAGTCCATCACTTAAACAGCACCATCACTGATTCGAAGAAATACCTGCTCAATCGATGTTTGCGAAACACAGTAATCCGTAATACCAAGGGTGTCCTTGAACTGCTGAAGAATACGGAATGTATTTGCAAGTGATGTGTCGTGGGGAAGCGCGTACACAAATCGCTGTCCTTTGTACTCATTTAAAGTCGCGCCGGGAAACATCTGACTCACAAAACTCTCAACATGGTCATACCAATCAGCATTCGCAATGCATATATGCATCTCATAACCACTACCGTACTTATTTTTGAGATGCGTCTTGTCGCCGATGCAGCGCAACTTGCCGTCGACCATGATGGCTACTACATCCCCCAGTGCCTCCACCTCCTCGAGGTGATGTGTTGTCAGCACGACGGAGCAGTTGTCGGCGATCCTCTTGATCATCGTCCACAGACCGCNCACACACACACACGCACACACCACAATTGGGGAGACATATAACAAGTAGACATAATAAGACACACCATAAAATGAAGTATCACGGCACATATATCTATATTGTAGATACTCTTGCATTCACGCCCACCACACTGGACGCAGTGACATGAGTGAAAACACAAACGGAAAAAAAAAAAATGAACGCTCCTTCTGGCACATAACACAAGGAAAAACAAAACATACTCAATAGGGAGGATGCATTAAAACAAAAAGGAAGGTAAAGAAAAAAATACATTATTATCAATTCATTTATTGAAAATGTTAAGATGCCAATTAAAGAAAAAAAAACATTACCACATAGAAACACACACACGTGGGCACGTCTCCTGTAGAGAATAGAATAGAGGGATCGATCTTACAAAAACTCAAATTGAAAGAAAAAACAAGCTTGTAGAGAATTTCAATACTATCATTTTCTTTTACTACACTCAATATATTACTTTGGATCGCTTGATCCTCACTTTACAGAAACAATTCTACCATAATAATCCACATCAACATAATAACGGGTCAAGTACGAAGGGTTGCAGCAGATAAAAGAGTATCAATGACATGGGACGTGCGTCTACTGCTGAGGCACTTTGCCGCAGCTTTTTTTACACATAAATTAACAAAAACATGAGCACCGCCTCTTTCCCCTTTGTGCCCTCTCAGCCTCCAAACGAACGTCCTCTTCTTCACGTGCGCGTTCAGCCTCCTCGCTGATTCGAAGAAATACCTGCTCAATCGATGTTTGCGAAACGTGATAATCCGTCAAGCCAAGTCCAAGGTGGTGTTTCTCCAACAACTCAAACGCCAGAGACAATTTTGTTGTCCGCGGCAGGGCAAACGTCATGCGGTTCGAGCGGCGCTCCTCGAGTCGTGTGCCGGGGAAACTCTCGTAGAAGAACGCCTCCACCGCGGCCACTGCTGGCTCGTCATCGCGGCCGAGACGCACCGTCACCTCAAACCCACTACCGTACTTATTTTTGAGATGCGTCTTGTCGCCGATGCAGCGCAACTTGCCGTCGACCATGATGGCTACTACATCCCCCAGTGCCTCCACCTCCTCGAGGTGATGTGTTGTCAGCACGACGGAGCAGTTGTCGGCGATCCTCTTGATCATCGTCCACAGACCGCGCCGCGCAACGGGATCCATGCCAGCTGACGGCTCGTCGAGGAATACAACACGCGGCCCACCCACAAGCGCAATCGCCACGCTCAACTTGCGGCGATTCCCTCCACTCAGTTCGTGCGCCAGCGTGCGGCGGTATCTGGCGATGTCACACATTAGAAGCAAGGACTCAATAACATTACTCCTCTCGTTCTCCATGACACAACGGAGGCCGCAGTACAGACGAAGATGTTCCTCCACAGTCAAATAATCAAGAGTCCCATCGAACTGCGGGCAGTAGCCAATGCACTCCAACGTTTTTGCTCCAGCATCCACGACGTCGTAGCCGCATACAGAGGCGGTTCCGCCAGTTGGCAAAAGCTGCTGGCAAAGTATTGAGATGGTCGTTGTCTTACCAGCACCATTGGTGCCTAGAAAGGCAAAAACTTCACCAGGCATTATGCTGAATGTAATACCTCGCACCACCAGTTTAGAATTTCCGTATTTTTTCTGTAAATTCAACACCGTCACCACACCATCATCTATACTGTGTTGTGCGGCGTTGTACACTGCATCTCGCTCGTCCTCAACGTCAGAGTCTCCCTGCGAAAAATCCCCATCGTCGAGCTCCGCATGTCGGTGATACCACAAGCGACCCCACCATAACCGCCTCCCGGGGTGATCAATCAAAAGTACCAGCAACACAAACACAGGGAATTCAATTCCAAGGAACAGAATAGGGTATCCTGTGACGGTGAGAGCGAACGCCGAATTCACAGTACCTGAGGCCTTCTTGTTGCCAAATGTCCCAAGGTTGATAATACCCTCACCAATGCAGTACGTCGGGATCAGACGGAAGGGCCAACGAAGGTTATCAGAGGTGGTGGCTGTTCTCTCAATAAGTGAGAGGATATACACCACCATAACTAACAGAAATTCCGTCACAAAACCCACAGCCATCACGACCGTCTGCGCCGTCGAGTGCTCACTGAAAAGAAAACTGATGGCGTAGCCGGCAACGGTGCTTGTTAGACCATACACAAGAAAAAGAGTTAAAAGAGGTCCAACAGTGTCACTCCCAATATACTCCTTGCGCTGGAATATCACGAACAGCAGAATGATGCAAATTACCGACACAATGTACGCCAAGACATCAAAAAGAAAATTTGTAAGCCAGTAAGTGTAGAAACGCAGTCCAACAACCTTCTGTAGATGAAGAGCGCCGCACTCTCGTTCCTTCACTATCCATGCGACTGGGTTCGAGGGCAGAAAAGTGAACGGAATCATGATTATCGCGCCTATCAAAATAATTTCAAGCGCATCTGATGCCTCGACACTAGAAGGCATAGTACCCACATACCAAGAAACGTTGGCTGAACGGCCCGCAATGTATTCAAACAAAAGTTGGTAAAATGCGGCCATGCTTATACCAACTTGGTGATTAACTGAGGTGTTGTACAGCATGATGACAGGATTCGTTGTGCCTGTTTTCTGGTACAGATCACGGTCAATGCAAGAAATACTAGCATAGCGCGGCAGGCCGTGCCCAAACCACGTATCAGCACCATAGTCACCAAGATATTTTGCATTCTTCAAATGCGTTTCGTTGATTATCACATGTGGCAAACTTGGATCATTTCCCCAAAACTGATTGCATTGGGCTGTGTCTATTAGGGTCTCCCCCGGGTACATACCAAATGACAACTCCAGCAGGTCCACGTGGTTTGCTTTAACAAGACCAAACAACATGGCCACAAGCGTACACACAACAGGACACACGAGTTGAAAGCACTGCATGCGTCGGTCTCGTAGAGCAATACACACTCGCTTCATCATCATCACGAGAAACTGTGATGAAAACAAAGAACTGCTTCTTCCACAGTTCCACAGAAAGGAAAAATCATTATTGGACAATGGCATCTCCGTCGGAGGTTGTGAAACACGAAGAAAAACCTCTTCAAGAGTCGTCGCAGAAAGGGAGTAACCAAGCACACCCAGATCATGCTTTTCCTCAATTAAGTCGAGCAGCACGGGAACATTAGGGGCCTCTTGCTGAGGTAATCGGTACGTCAGTTCACATCCGGTATTCCCAAGTAGTTCCGCCCCATTAATGCAATTATACACAACTGCGTCAATTTCTTCAACGTCAGCATCCGGCCGTACTGATATGGCCATACTATAACCCAACCCAAGCCTTGACTTCAAAAACATGCTGCTACCTGAGCACTGTAGACGACCCTCATTCATGATGCCGATACGATCACCCAACAGATCTGCTTCGTCCATGTAGTGTGTAGTCAGCAGAATCGTGTGGGATGCCGCCATCCGCTTCAGCAACTCCCACGTATGACGACGGGCACCCACATCCATGCCAGAAGTCGGCTCGTCAAGAAATACAAGGGGGCTCTCACCCACGAACGCAATGCCCACGGACAGCTTACGCTTCTGCCCACCAGAGAGGGCGGATGATCGACAATTCATCTTCTCATAGAGATCCGTCTCGCTTAGCATGCGTTGAACAGCCTTCTCCAGTCTGGCACCCTTTAACCCCTTGATCCTCCCAAAGAACTCCAGGTGCTCACGGCATGTCAACTCCGGCCACAAGATATTATGCTGTGGGCAAAATCCAAGCTGCTGGCGCACCTTCGACAGCTGGTGTCGCACAGAGAGTCCGTACACATAGCAATCACCACCGTCGGCCTTTACCATTCCAGTCATCATATTAATTGTGGTGGACTTGCCGGCGCCGTTATGACCCAACAGCACAGAGATCTCACTTGTTTTTATGTTCCAGTACAAGTTGTCCACGGCAACAAACTTTTTCCCGCCACGCTTAAATACCTTTCGAAGTCCACAGAGCTGAACGGCGTTTTCCTGTTCATTGTCAGAGTCCTCGAAAACTCCGTCTTCAGCACATCCATCGGGACCACCCTCCCCATGTTCTTTACCTCTACCAAGTAACCAGCGGATCGGGTCAATGATAAAGAAAAATGGGTGCTTTGGCGTGCCCCAGTCCTTCGGAAATACCGCGTCAAAGTACAACATTAGGAGAGTATACAGGAAAAAATCGACGATCAACATTAGGATCATCAGAGCCATCGTTGGCTGGTACGCGTCACTTGATATGTCGTTGGCCCCGAAACCGCGCGACACCTCTCCCAACATGAGATGCTTCAGCAAAGTAACAAATGCTGACGGTGAAAACAAAGCAAATACAATCACCGCCGCATTGCCTGATTTTGGCACCAGAAGGTTCGGTACAGTAAAAATAAAGTATACCATGGGTGCAAGCAGTGACGCGAGTCGGGCCTTGCTAAAGAAAGTTGACAGCAGACCAGAAAATGGGATAGTTGTCAGTGTGAATACAATGAAAACCATGAAAATGACAAATGCATCGCTTTGCGTCATGTATGTACACTTTAGCAGGATGGTGGCAAGCGTGCACACAACAAAATCGACTGCTATGGGTCTTACAAACCATGACGCATACAATACGGAGTCTCTCATCCCCATAATCAACATGGCCTCACGGACGCGCATTTCCTTCTCCAGTAAAATCACCTTTGTCCGGTAAGTCACACTGTAGAGGAACGCCAGAGCAATTATAAGGGGTAATATCGCGTGAGCGTAAATCAACAAGGGTATCCGACGATATTCCACAAAGGCCTGCGCAGCCACGTACATTGTAGTTTTAACTTTTGCAGTGGGATAGAAGTAATTGATGTGATACTCCGATATCAGACTCTGCAGTGTCAAATACCCTGATGCAATGTACAACTCCGCCTTATCAAACTGGAAACCACCTGGATACGTATCTGCTGGTATCTCCTCCAGTTTTGGCAACGCACTGTAGTTAAGGTAAATCCTGGCGTCGAGGTGAGTGGCATCGAATCTTGATATGTGGACAATACCCCAGTTCAGCGTGTTTCCCCGGACCAGAGCCTCGGCCTCAGCCAATGTTCCGAAAACACCACCCTCTACTGTATGGAAATATAGGGAATTCGATCTCAAATGACTCACTATTCCATTCACAATCGCAGCATCACCAACAAAATACAAGGTTCCAGAACACAAGATCGCAGACGCCCGCGTATTGGGAATCAAACCGGAGGACATCACACTTCTGTTGTTTGACTTGCGTGCAAGCCACTGGTACATGATGAGCCCATCAAGCGTTGGGATGGGTACAATACGACCGATGAGGGAATTCAGGAAAAAACCGACAAGTCCTTTGGCACCCCCAGCGACCTTGTGAACACACAGCCCTTTGTACGGCAGTGAACTCTCATCACCCTCACAGTCATACATGGAAAGATCCAAACATGTGGCAATCCCTGGTATCCCACCCGCATCCTTGGAGCACACATAATTCTTGTACACACTCCCATCGATTGCCATCGGAAGATTATCATAGTCCACATAGTTCTGAAAATCAAAGTGTTCAGTACCCCACACGGCCCACAAGATGACAGTGATCACGATGAAGAGAAGCGGAACAAAAATCTCAAGAAGCAGATAAAACTTATTTCGCAGACCCTGCAGACCCAAACGCCAAAAAACAGCCAGAAACTGATCAACGAATGTTACCTCCTGCAGGTCGTACGTGTGGAAATCACTACGCGGCATACTCCGCTTACTACNTTGTTGTTGTTGTTGCTTGTTGGTGCTTTTTTTGTGTTTTTTTTTTTGTGTATTTTATATTAGAAGCCCACTTGTCCACAGTTACACGTGAAGCTGAGGACAATAACGCAACGCAGAAGGTATTCTTTTTATTCTGCTTTGCTTTCCTTTTTTTTCGATTTGATTTTCCTCTTTTCTTGATTGTGCTTGTTAGTTTGTTTTTCTCTTTCTTTCCCACTTTATTCCGTTCTGCTTCCTTTCCCTACCAATTCCCTTCTCTTCCCACTGCACTACCCATCATCACTTCCAAGATGCACCAGTCAGCAGAGGAAGAACACACTTGTCCCCGAGATTGGTATACCTGTATTGTTATTGCTATCGTGTCTTGTTTGTCACATTCACAGGTTTAAATTACAAGAGCATATGCACACACAAATAACAACTTACATGACGTGTGTACATAGTTGCAGAGACCCATAGTGCTTCTTCACGCAAAACACCTTATTTCCCTTCAAACCTACATAACCCCACGCATATTATATATATATATATATACATGAATAGGTTCATAGTTCTTCCCCCTCATGACACAAACATCTTCTTCTTTCCTTCTCTCCATTTCTTTCATTATCTTTCTCTTTCTCTGTCACTCTCACTAACTCACTCATTTTTTGACAATCTCTGCCCAACATGGTTATAGAAACAGACTGTGAATGACACAAAAACAAACAGCAAAAAAAGCACCAAAAAAATCAAAAATAACACAAACAGCTGTCGTAAAAACCACAATTGAAGGCGTACAAATGTCAAAGCATGGAGTATGAGAAAAAAAAAAACGCACAGAAAGAAACATGTGGCCCAGAAGGGAAGTTGAGAAATGAATAAAAGGAGAACGGAAGAGATAATAAAGCATATATATATATATATATATACAGAACATGTGCGGCGGTGTTGCGTTTAGTGTCTGTATATCCTCTGCAGGAGGACCATGTCTGCAGCAGAAAAAAAAAAAACAGTGAAGAGAATTAATTGAAGAAAGAAGGAAAGAAAATGATTACCGTGTCACTGTTGTTGTGTTTCTTTGCTCAAAAAGAAAATGAAGGGACACATCAACATAAAAAAAAAAAACAGAACAACAGTGGCAGTAGCAAAAAAAAAAGTAGACTCACACGAAAACAAAAAAAAAAAGAGAAGGTGCAGAATAAACAAATGAAAAAATGAAAGAACGAAAGAGAAGGGAATGAAAGGGGAAAAAAGAAGAAAACTAAATAAAAGACTTAATAAAAAGAAAAAAAAAAACACCAAATAAAAAAGTAGAAAACAAAAAAAAAAACTAAAATAGTCTCAAAAAAGAGACAAAAAAAGAGCTCAATAGAGGCAGAAACAGATAAAGCAAAAAAAAAAGAAAAGAAAAAAAAAATATTAAGTGTAACGTGTGATGCGTCTCCCCCACCTGGCTGTTCGTCCGATCATTCTTGCTTTCAAGACCCTCAGCTTCTTTTTCCGGCCGATGAAGCACCAGCGGTAGTTCTTGTTCTGTTTTTTTCTTTTTGTTTTTTTGCTGGTCCTACTGTTACTACCACTTCTTTATAGGGGTAACTAGGCAAAAAGAAAAATCCACACACACACACACGTAGTTAACACTTATGATTTTTTTTTTTCCTTCTGAGTCTGGCTGTTCTTGTTTTTCCTCCATTCTGCTTATTTTATTCTTTTTCCCCTTTTCCAGCCCTCCCTTCAGAACAGCGGATACAATGGCAAAGAAGAAGACATAATCATGCAAAAATAAAAAAAAATGAGAAAAGGGGGAAAAAGAACATTAGCAGAACCGAAGCCCCGGAACTACAGTTGTTCATTTATCATTTTTTCTTTTTTTTTATTGTCCCTAATTATGTGTCTGTCTGCGTCACTTTGTCCTCCCATAATAGTACTTCTCTCTGTGCCGCATAGATCACCTCCATTTTTGTCTTTTTCCTTTTATCTCATCACACCCTAATATGATTATTTCGCTGCTCCCTTTAGTCCTTTACCGTATTTTTTCTTTTTCTTTTTTTTTTTTTCTCCTTTACCAAAAGAAAGATCTCTTATTTTTTCCTTTATTAGTACTTTTACAGATGCACACAAAACCATATCTCACTTTTTTTTTGTTTATTTTTCTTATAAAAATATCTATCACAATCGCCTCGGAAATGTCCATATTTTTCTCTTACTTTACTTTCCTTTGACTCTTGTGTATTTTTTTTTTTTTTTCTCCCCTCACTCTCCTCCCCTTTTCACTCTCTTAGAACTTTTTTTTTTCCTTTTAACACTTCCCAACACAGAATCTACCCCTCCCCCACCCCACCGATATATATCATATAATATAAAGGATATATATACATATATATATATATATATATATATAAATATATATGAGGAGTGAGAAGGAAAAAAAAGGAGGGGAAGGAGGGGGTGGTGGGGAAGGGGGGGGGGAACATATGCGCACAAAGAAAAACGTATATACAATTATATATTATATATTATATATGTATAAATGTATATATGCTCTTCTTCGCGCTTCCTACGCTTCTTCACACCATCTGTTTTCTTCACGTATTTTTTCTTCCTCCTCTGCTGTGAAGTCACTCTCAATGTTGAAGAGTGCGCGTATTTGCTCTGCCGACTTCCCACGGATCATGCTGGCGACACACGCGCAAGTAAGATCCAGCAGATCTTTTACGTTGAGAAAGTTCGCAGCCATGATGACGTCAATAAGCACCTCGTGCTGCTTCTCGTCGTGGTCTTTCACCAGGTGCGTGTATAAAAACGTGTTGTCCCACTGCGAGATGATCGTGTCTATTTTTGACTTCAGCGGCTTGTCGATGGGATCGGCTCGGTTCTTGTGATGGTGCTCCATGTACTCAATAACCAGACTGAGTGTGTGACCCGACACGTTTGGGATCGGGATGATCGCCTCTGTGCCTTCCTGGTCGTCCAGCATGTCTTTCAACAGGCCAGACATCATGGCCACCTCACGCGTCACCTTAAACTCACGCGGTGGTTGATCATTACTCTGCAGTACACAATACTTTGAGAAGTCAACATCGTGTGAGGTGATTTCCTCGGGCATTCTTTCTGCACAGACCGCTTGCCTTTTCAGTGAATTTTTTTGTGAGTGTATGTGTAATCTTGTATGCTCTTAGCACAGCGGCTTGTTAATTCTTTCCTCTGAGAGTGTACCCGGTTTAGCGTCGTCCCTTTATATCGTTTTTTTTTTTTTTTTTCTCTTTCACTTCTTCACTTAGTGACCTTTTTAGCTTTTTTTCTCAGTTGTTCTTGCTTTTTTTTTTCTTTGTTTGAACGGCTCTACTTCCCCCTGAGCCACTAACCCCTACTCTTAAGCAGAGAAAATGCAAGAAATAAATAAATAGTTAGAGCAAACAATGCCGTGGGGCAAAGTTAGGCTGACAAAACCCAAGAAAAAAAAAAAAAAAAGAACGAAAGAAAAGAAGGAGGTGTGTCTTCCTGCAGGTAAGTACGTAGGTACAGAGAGTAATCCTTTATGTTGTCCTTATTGTAAATATTGCTTGCCAAATCAAATACTATATATATATATTTACAGAGTGATTTCGTTCGCGCGCCCATTTCTTCAATTATTCCGTAGTTCTTGTTTTGTGACCATTCAATATACGATTATGACTGTCCATCGAAAAAAAAAAAAACCCACTTTTCTGCTAAAATAGAACCCTTCATACAATAAAGGTATGGCTGTCACACATGCAGAGAACAAGAAAATCCAAAGAAATTATACACAGCTGTGTGCACATCAATACCGACGCCAAGCAGGTTTCCATAAAGCAAGAAAACTGTGTCTGAGAAACATAAAAAAAAAAAGTACAAATTAAAAAAAAAAAAAAACAAGAAAAAAAAAACTGCCACGCTATACAAACGAATGAAGAATAATAAAACTTTGTAACCATCACAATATTCTTATTTTGACTTTGGTGGACCAAGAGAACCCTCATCACTGGGCTGTAGTGTCTCTCTCTGGTAGGTACGCAACAACGCCTTACTCTTGACACCAATACACTCTTTGCATTTGTAGCCATTTTTCCGACGCACCATTTCACGATCAAATCGACCACACACAACGCAGTAAATTTGTGGCGTGTTTGTCTGCATCTGTGTTTGATGACTCTGCAGAAGTTCTGTGTCCACTTTTACCGCCTCACTCGCCTCTTCATGCCGTGTGCGACGCATAATAACATCGGTGTCCGTGAAATTCATATCACGATTACGTTCTTCTCTATCGCTGTCATCATCAAAGTGCAGCAGACCGTCCGCCCGCACGCCGTAGTCTGTTGCGATCGCATGATGGACGAGTTCCCCCACTGTTGGGTCCCGGCCATACACCACCATCGCCTCGTCCATCTCACCAAATCCACCACCAACAGCAGAACCAGGCGTCGGAGATGCTGAAATGGCATTACCTTTCGCTTTATTACTATTGGTTTGATCCATGTCATCAGGATTATCATATTCGGTATTTTCCTGATCCACAAGTTTACCTCGGCGATAAAAAATAGTGGCTAGAGTATCTTCAATAACGTCATTAATACTTAAGGCTGCGTCAATATTACTTCGAATATTACGGTTGCTTTCGTCTTTAATGTACATGGGTACAGCAGCCATCTCTTCATCTAATTTTTTACGCCCAAAGGCCGCACGGTGCATAAGTGCGACAGGAAGAATTTCAAAACACATAAGAAGATCTTGAATAGCTGCAGCGACACGCTCCTGTTCATGTTCTGTCTTACCTGTATAAAGTAAGTTTGCCTTTACGAGCAAACTCACCATAACACTTTGCCAAAAACTAAAGAAAATAATTGTTTTAATACACAAAAACTTAAGAAAAGGTTTTGCGTAGTGTAACTCCTTCTCAAGTTCAACCTCAAATAGAACGAGGTAATATAACGACATTGTAAGACTGAAGTTAATAATGATTGCCACATAAGTGTATGCATTGTTTAGTGAGAAGTCACCTTCATTGTAAACGCCGATAGGATGGAGCACCATAGCGAGAAAGGAGCATAACGGTTTTATCAGAGCACATTGCAACACCCAACGTTTACATCGAAGATAGAACGCGGTGTCAAGTGGATACATTGGCAAAAAACAAACAGGAAATAGATGTACGCCTTTATAACGTTTTGCCTTTAGTGAGCGCAACAATTGTCCCTCACCACCACAGTACTTTAAAAGTAGGATAAAGAACATATATAGGACGAAACTCTCGTATGTGTCTCGTATAGTCTCGAGAAAGAAACGCATATTTACAAGGACAAGTGACAAAAGTGAAAAAATTCCATATATGGGAATCATTGCAATGATACGAATTATAATGATCTGCATTTGTGGGTAGTCAAATCGAGCCAAGTGTTCACGCGTGTCGGCAAATGACAAAATACAAGCAATCACTACAAAAACACCTGCTGCATATGTGACGCTGGGGTTTAACGTCCATGTCATGTCAAGACTCATAATGGGAACTGACGATCCATCGTCAGTGCCGTTTACTTCATGCTCCACCATAGACTCGTAGAGAACACGTAGAGAAATAATACTAATTGGTAGGCTTTCTTCTTTCCTTACTTTCACTCTCAGAAAGATTATGTTAGCACACACGCACACACCACAGCAGACGAATACAGGAAGAAACAGAGAGAAATAAATAAAGAAAAAAATCCTTGTTTCCTTTCCTCTATTCTTATCTCTTTGTTTTCTTTTTTTTTTTTTGTTTCTCATTGCCAAACGTCACCCACCCATAACAGAAAAAAAAAAAAAAGAGGACAAGGAAAAGAAAAAAAACAAAAAGAAGCATATATATGTATACGAGGCACCAAGAGAAAATCACGGTTAGTCGACATGGCGGTAGAGAATTACATTCTCTCATATAATCAGTAGAAACAAAAAAGAAAGAAAATAAAATAAAGAATGATAAAAAAACAAAAACAATTTAAAAAATGCAGGGAAATTCATGACCTAATAGAAAAATCCAAGAACCTTTCCACCAGTGTTGCGGCTCCTGGCCTCCTCGTGGTCCATGATGCCAAGGGATGTTGTAAGCACCACAAAGCCAAACTGACGGCTGGGAAGAATGTTCTTCACCCACTTCTCAAAGTCACGGGCCGTGCAGTCAAAGCGTGGGCAGATGGCGCCGCACTTGTTGAGACGACCATTGAGGTTCACCACAATCTTGCCGGCACGGTGGTCATCAATGATCTCAAACTCACCAATATAGCCGTGCTTCTGCATCACCTGCAGGAACTTCACAACGACCTTGGAGGAAGGGCGGATAAGCACCTGGCGCTTGCCACGGCGCTCAGCGCTCGCAATGCTGCGGAGCGCGTTAGCCAGAACGCTCATCATGGTCATCTTTGGGTTCGCTTGGTTCCCTTATTTTTCTTTTTTTTTTGTGTGTGTATGTATGGGTATACATATGTGTATGAAAGAGAGAAAGTAAGTACAAGTTGGTAAGAGAAATGGAAAATAAGAAAAAAATTTCAACAGGTTAGAATAGAAAGATTAATTTGAAAAAAAAAAAACATATTAATAAGCAAAACCAAAAAAAAGAAGAACTACAAGATGATATTCCCTGTTTTAGGTCTTTTCTTTTTCTCGTTTTTCCTTCTATATAACACATCATTCTTCAATCATGTCTTAAAGTCACCCACTCCCACTCCCACTCCCATAAATCTCTCTCTCTCTCTCTCTCTCTCTCTATATATATATATATATATATATATATATATATATGGAGATTATTACTCGCCTTTTATTTTTTTTCTTTTTCTTCGTTAGTGTCGTCTACATTAACTGCGTGGGTGTCGCTGCTTTGCCCGACGCTGTGGATTGGGCCGTGGCATCAACTGCAAGTGATGACCCTCTGCCAGAGCATCCAAGCCGTGCACAACATGCGGTGTCGGCACCCTTGTGGTTGTCTCGTGTTGGCGCCGGAGAAATTCCACCTTTGCCCCGCGCAGCACCTCCATTGTGTGCCGCCCCGCCCATACAAACCACATGGAGCGAAAGTGCGAGTGCTCGTTACCCACACCTTTGGGATGTTTAAAGTCATACCGGACACGTGGCACCAGATAGAACGGTTCCGTACCTATTGGAAGCACAACACTCGTGTTATTGCTATTGTTCTTGCCACTGCTGCTGGTATTACCACTACTTCCATCTCCATGAGATCCCCCTTCCTCTTTTTTCTTCTCATGATCGCCTTGATGATTATCATTGTCATTCTCTTCTTCCTCATCGGTGGCCACCATTTTGAGAAATGGTGGTGGTTGTAACACGGCGGCCGGAATAGTTGGTCGGGTGCGCCGCGGTGCATTTATGTCGCCCTTTCCTGTTGGCGGTGCTGCCGTGAAGTGACGCCGTACTGCCGTCTTGTACCATTCCTTTGTGGCTGTGTAATCAGGCACTAAGAAGGCAAAGGGTTTTTTCGCCCCCACCAGGTAGCTGAACATACGTTCAATGTGATCACCGCTAAAGGGAGGATTTGTTATCAGCATATCGTACTCATGCGGCACCTTATCATCTTCAATGTCCTTGTAAAAATCACGGTTCTCGTGAATCACACGCTGAACACCGAGTGTATTCCAGTGCTGTACCACTGTACCTGCACAATAGTACGGATCGTACACAATAAAGTTCTCCGGTGCTGACGGACGCACAAGTTGACGTAGTTGTTGTACAACTACCATGATATCCTGCAGCGCCATCACGGACGTCTCAAAGTGATCGTTAAAATCCGCACGGAATGGGTGCCAGAGGCTTCCCGACGGTGATGTGTCCTCCTCCGTCCGGCCCCGCTTCATCCCACCCTTCTAACCACACACACACACAGAGAGATAATGTATATATATATATATATATATATATATATATATATATATATATATAATATACAATAGAGAGAAAAACAAAACAAAACAAAAAAAAAGAGAAAAGGAAATCAATTAAATCACAAAATCATCCTAAATGCATGCATCAAGATATGGATGCTCTTACTACGGGTTTGAGGAGATGTACGATACAGGTACATATTACCCCTACACCACACCTCATCTCTCCTTCTCTCTCTCCTTTTCTTTTTTTTTTTTGTTTTTCTATTTGTGTCGCATTCTCTGACGCAAATTATGCAGAGACACAGAAAAACACTCACACTTACAACCAATCTTCCTCTTCTTCAAACTTTTCCCTCTCTCCTTAGCCTTTCCTCTTCGACCTGATTAGGTCATCGTTATCTTCAAATACAACCTCATCATAGTCATCAACCTTATCAAATTTCTTTTTCTTTTGCTCATCACGCAACATCTGTCGTTCCTTCTCACGTCGTGATTGTTCTTCCTTTGAGGCGAAAAGACGCTCCATGATTGATGGACCCCTTACCTCTGTAATAATTTGTGATTTAGCCGCCTGTGGTGGGTCTGGGAATTGAAAAAAGTCACGGAATGGTTGCCACCGGAGCAACAATGGCTGCAAGAGACCCGCTGTTGATAAACCAATCCAGTAAGCGAACATAGCTGAAGGTTGTGAGGCAAACGCGTAGACTCCAACTAGAGACCCCAAACGTACTGCCCAACGAATATAAATACCGCTAGAACTGCGTCCACCCCGCTGCATCATTTGGTTTAATTCAAAATTCATTAAAAACATTCCGGCACAAATAAGTGGTAATCCATACGTTGGGTCTGGCATAGTTAAATCTTTAACCCATAGAAAAGGTGCCATTTCCAGGTCAGTTTCATACACTGCAAGACGACGAATGGAAAAGAAGGCAGACATTGTTATGGGTGTAGTAATAGCCGTTAAAAAACTCTTCCATTGTGCACAACCATGTTTCTTCATTAATGCGTACTTCATTCGATTATATCCATCTTTAATTACTCGCTTCTCAGCGCTACTGAGTGTACGATCATTTTTAGCACGACTTTGACTATTAGTAATTTCAGAAATTTGAGGACCAATATGACCCATCCTCAGGGCGTTACGGTGACTGTAAAGAGATGGAATAAGTGTAAAGAGACGCATAACGACACCATAGAAAAAAAAGACATGTCCCCAAGTTCCAAAGTCAAACCCGAAGAGACCATCATGCCGCAGACTACGCATGATATCCATTTGCTTCTCCACTGGCTGCATGAAACTTACTATCCAATCCCAGAAGTCTTCAAGTTTCTCAAAGACACTTCTTTCTGGACGAATAAAATCATCTACTTCTAATGGCTGCTGTGCAAATACTTCTGGCAGCTCCTCTTCGATATTTTGATGTGACTCCCGTCCTGCAATAGCGCCACTTCCCCACTTTGCCGGATTCCAGCTGATGCTGCGTGCACTTGTCAGTGTCACTATACCTGCAGTACGCAAAGAAGCAGCAGATGCGACAGTGGCACCACAGAATGGTGTAACCCGCCGCATAGACGTCCTAAGAAGGACTAACCGGACTGACATCTTTAAGAAAGAACAAGGGAGAAAAAAAAAAAAAAGAAAGAAAAAAAAAAAAACAATAATAATTTATGTTAAAAAATTACAAACGTATACATATATAATAATATTATATTCTTTTAACTTGGAATACCAAGAACAACTTGTCCATGTAGACCATGGATTTTTTTTTTCCGTTATACACGCCTTCCTTTGAGTAACAGAAAGGTACCTTAGAAACACAAACACACACACGAAATAAAATAGGCGCTTAATAAGTGAAAAAAAAATCAAAAGGAGGGGAATGTAATATGGGCAAAAGTAATAAAAGGAAAAAATATTTCCTTTACTTTAACTCTAAAATTCCCTCCTTGACTTTTCTCATTTCTTCTGTTTTTTTTTTTTNAAAAAAAAAAAAATGAACGCTCCTTCTGGCACATAACACAAGGAAAAACAAAACACACCCAATGGGGAGGATGCATTAAAACAAAAAGGAAGGTAAAGAAAAAAATACATTATTATCAATACTTTATTGAAAAAGTTAAGCTGCCTATTAAAGAAAA